TATCCTAACATCTGGATAAGCGGCAAACCTGAACAAAAACGATTTATTAGCTTTTGGAACGTTGCTGGAGCTGTGGATAGACCAAAAGGCATCGTCTTATATCGATAAAGTACAAATGGCATGACAAAGGCGGTTTTATCACGATCTTCTTCTCTGACACGTACTTGATGATAACCACTCTTCAGGTCTAAGGTGGTTATGTAGTTAGCTTTTCCAGTTGAATGGATAAGGTCATCTTTACGAGGCAACGGGTAACGAACATTTTTGGTGACAGCATTCAGTCGGCGATAATCAACACAAAGACGTGAAGTTCCGTCTTTCTTTGGTACAAGAACGACTGAAAATGCGTACGGCGATTCGCTTTCTTCAATGATATCGCTGGCAAGAAGTTTGTCAAGCTCTTGACGCAAAACTTGGGAAGAGTCGGCAGCGACAAATCATTCCCGTCAACAACAGAGAAAACTGCGTTTTAATCGATAACTTCATCCTGTAATGACAAGGAATTGCTTGGATCATCATTGAAATAGTATATCTTCTTAGGTATATTGAGCACTATATCGAATTGTTATATGAAATCAACACCAAGTAAAGTCTTTCTATCTTTGTAATCTGGAACAGCAATCATTTGCAGTTTTCGTTGTTCATTCATAACTTCGATGGAGCACTGGTACATCTTTGCTTCAAGTTCTCGGGGTATACCATCAGCAAATACCAGTTTTATTGGAGCAGTTTTGAATGGATGCCGAATAGCCTCTAAGTGGCTTAACAACTTTGAACCTGCAATACTGCATCTTGCTCCGGAATCCACAAAAGCAAAACCTGATTTACTTACTCTTTAAGGCGGACCACAAACGTTGATAACAAACTGGAAGGTTCACCGAGATCAGCAGCGAGCATTTCGACAGAGGAAATGGTTGTTGGTGCAGACTTACATTGAGGACAATAATTGGAACGAATATGTCCTGGATTACCGCAACCATAACATGTTACATTTGTGGAGGACGGGTTACTGGATCGGACTGTTAGGGCAGAAGTAGTGGACGAGGCTTTTTCAGCAGACTTGGCTTTAAATTTACTGCAAACAGCTTGAACATGTCCATATGCTTTGCAAAATGCACACCGGTCTTTGGGCATTTCTGCAACGGACGAGGAAGTCACTTTTACGTTGGATTCAGCAAGGCTGGATTCGATTGCTGTGCATTTGTCGATCATCTCCGAAAAGTTTTGAAAACTATGTCGAGGAAGTTTTTCCCTGATTCTATAGTGAAGGAGTCCATAAACCATTTCTAACTTGTGCTCCTCTGGCAAGGGTGTGATTGTTGTCAATTTTGAAAGCAGTGCACGGGCTTGATTCACGAAAAGATCCGTTGGTTCTGTACTGCCTTGTTCTCGAGAAAACAGTTCTCTATAAATCTGATGTGCTGGTTTGTTAACGCCAAAAACATGACGTAGCGCATCTTAAACTTCAGTCCATAAGATGTTTGGCTTTTTGGTGCCTTGCCACCATACTGCAGCAGCGCCATCCAGTAGCATGGGTAAACCTTTTACAGCGTTATCGTCACTGAGGTTCAGACAGTCTTTGTAAATAGTGATGGCATCAATAAAAGCCTCAGCATCTTCGTCTGGCTTTCCAGAAAACCTTGAGCCGCATTAAAAAAAAATGGCAGCTGTACTTTGGTGCGAAGTAGATTGTGGGGTATTCTGAAACATATCTCTCATACCAGCGAGTAATGTTTGTAATTGCTCATTCGTCAGAACAACAGGGTCACCCATTTTGTCTTGATTTTTTTGGGACGATCGAAGATTATAAGGCATATACAGGAAAATCCAGCTTGGAGTAAGCTAAGTGATAGAAATGTAGTGTTGAGAAACAGCAAACTCGGGTAAATCCTGACAAACAGGCGACTGTAATGTAGGAACCCTTTGAACAAACTTGGACGGACACACAGGAAACTGTAAAGTTGGTACAAAATGGAGGACAAACTTGGACACACAGGAAACTCTAATGTCAGCACAAAATGGAGGACAAACTTGAACACACAGGAAACTGTAATGTCGGTTTGTGTGGAACATTCCAGAAATTGTGGGTACAATATCCGAATGTGGCAAAACTTACACAATTCAGTCAATTAATGCACATTGACATACTGATAATGTCTCGCGTTCTATAGTTCATTGATCTACAGTCACAAAATTAGTCCAGAAAGTCATTGGGGTGGTGGTTCACTACAAAAGCCCAGGCACACGTTGGGACGCCAAATATGTAGCAAATATCGAAGGGAACTCCAACACTATGCACTACACATGTTTTTTAATGTTTTTATTTAACAATTTAACAGGAAAAAATTACGGAGCAATAATTACTGATAATTGATAATGAACTTGACAACTTGATTGGGAAAATCAATGAACTATAGTCAAAAACTGGAATGCGCACACATTGCCATATCTGCCAAAAAAATGTAGCCATGAAAGACAGATGCCACAAAGGGGAATGTTGTTTTTTTCTGTTGCTCGCTGACATATGACGTTTTGGAAAGTTTTGTCATATTTACCTTCACATGTTTCATCAATTGGAATACGTGTTGGAAGCAATTTCCGCCATTTAACATAATGAGTGCGACAAAGACAGGTATCCCCTCCGCAGCAGCGGCACTAGGCTTCACGATCGTCAATATGTGTTCGCATTCCAGTTTTTGGTTATATTTCATTGGGGAAAACTGACTGACTGATTGATGACACTTGTCAGACATGGTAGTGGCTATGGCTTCGCAAGTGTGACGTTACACCATTTAAATATGGAATTAGTACCAAATATGTAAGTACAATAAAAAAACTCTTATTGCCTATTTATCAATTATTTATCGTCTAGTATGCCTAAGAAGTTGTTCAAAATGACCGCCTTCGACTTCCAACCTTCGACTTATTCATTCCTGAAATGAATTTCGTACTCGTAACATTGTTGGTGTCACTAATAAACATGCAGGACGAATTCTGTTTTTCATGTTCTCTGGATTCGTAGGAGCAGTAGCCATTACTTTATCCTTTATAAATCTTCATAAAAAAATCAAGGGGGATCAAATCTGGCGAACGAGCAGGCCAGTTAACAAGACCACCTCGACCAATCCACTTGTTTTCAAATATTCTATTTAAACGATTACGGGCCTGTATGGCATAGTGGGGTAGAATCTAATTTAGAATAAAAACCACATCTTTCCATTTAAAATAAGAAAAGACCCCCACCCTGTATTTCTTGTGCCAAATGTGACATTGAAGGCACTTATATAGGTAATCGAAAATGTTTTCCAAATTTCGAGGGTTTTAATTTAAGGACAGACTTGAGTTTCCGAACAAAGAAACGAGAATGCCACTATTTTAGAAAATATTTTAGGGTTAGATATAATAAGATCATTTTCGCTAGATTATATGCACTTAGTGTGTCTGGGTGTGATGAAAAAACTGCTGAACAACCTGTGGCTTTTTGGAAAACCACCATATTGTTTTTTTTCGCAACAATCAGCGTATTTCAAAAGTGATCAATATACAGAGTGGCAAAAAAGTCGCGCATAAGGGTAACTGTAACTTTCTAATTACCTCGTATGCGAAAAAGTGACTTCAATGAAAGTTGCTCAGCAAATTATTTCCACATTTCTACCTAGACGAATTGTTTATGTCACTTCTGGTTTGTTTGCTATCCAGACCAATTTTGTTTCTTTCAAATGGAACACCCTGCATGTGATTCCATATTTGGTTTCTATGTTGAATTCTGAGCAAATTTTGTGTGATATATCCCATACCCAAGTTCACCTGTTTTGGAAATATTGACAGTTGAAAATTAACTTTTTCGCAACTTTGACAGGCTGTTAAACCTAAACGGTTAATTTTATAGGAGAACCGATCTTACATTCTTATCTTAGATTTTCATAAACTATCGTTTGACACGAACTTGGAATCTAATCCATGATTGAAAATTCCACTTAAATTTAATTTTCGGTTTAATTCAAAGTTGGTGTTGAATGATAGTTTGTGATTATCTAAGCTAAGAATGTAAGATAGGTTTTCCTCTAAAATTAACCGCTTAGGTTTTACAGCCTGTCAAAGTTGCAAAAAGTCAATTTTCAACTGTCAATATTTCCAAAACAGTTGAACTTATAGGTATAGGGCAATCCAATGACCTGCCAAAAATGGCGGCTGTCAAAAATCAGCCAGGGCACGCAAATGTTAGAGTACGCAAAAATATTGGTAAAATGCCTGCATTTTGTTCAGGCCATCTTTATGCATGGGCTAGCTGGGCCCTGGCCCAGGGCCCCCTATAATAGGGGGCCCTGGCGCGTCGTTCGTGTAAACGCTGTTGCGTGCAGAAAAGTTTAACTTTCCGCACTTGTTAGGTAAATAACTATTTCAGTTTCTATCTATTTAACTATTTTTTCAGTGCTTTGACAATTATTCTACTTTCTACTTAAGATTACGTTCTCCAAATCTTTGGATCGGAGTTATCATGTCAAAGCGTGCATATCCGACTGGTGCGCTAAAAAGAAAAAAAAAATGCTCATCAGAAGGAGTTTATACATAAGGTCTGTTTCTGCAGAAATCACAAACCAGTCAGAGCGAATTTCATTGGTTGAAAACAGTCAGAAACAGTCAGAAAACTAGTTTCAACCAATGAAATTCGCTCTGACTGGTTTGTGATTTCTGCAGAAACAGACCTATAGTCTACCGAAGCTAACTTCCTTTTTCAAGATCCAAGCAGAGACCGCTGTAGCTGTAAGTACCTAAAGCCTAAAGCTTATTCATATATCATCTACGGCCAGCCCCGTCAATATATTTTCAAAATAGAAAAAAATATTTTCAAAAAAACTTTCGGTAAATCGCCTGCTCGTACGTCAGAAAGTTGGTGAACAAATGAATGAAACCTAATACGTACCATAGAGCGACCGAGTTGAGCGACGAACCGATCGAAGACGACTTGTAATAAATAACTTGTAATGCATTGCTTTCAGGGTCAGAATAGTCAACAAAATGATCATGATGAAGAAGCAAAAAATAATGTTGTCACTCCAAATCCAATTTTAAACTTAAGTTCAGAAAATAACTTTAACAGCTACGATAATCCATCAATAATTGAAGAACTTGGGGCTGAGGAAATGCCACGTCAGCGTCCAAATACATCAGATACTATTTCATTATTTTCAACAGACCCCGGTATTTATTTGACAGTGGCTTTTACAGAAGAAATACGTGAATTGTGGATTCGTAAAGGACCAGAAGCTTCTCCAAACAAAAATTATGACTTCTCAGAAGCTTCTAGAAGTTATAAGGAGTCGAGCGGTAAAATAAAAATAAGAAATTTAAATAAAGGGGTTTTTATTCGTCAACTAGAGAACGGAGAAAGTGTTGAGAGAAAATGGCTTCTATACTCTCCATCAACAAAGTCTGTTTATTGTTATTCCTGTTGTCTTTTTTCCAGTTTTAATACAAGCTTTAGTTCTTCTGGATGTAATGATTGGAAGCATATTAACCATCTTGTTTTTGAGCACGAAAATAGTTTAGCTCATAGACAATCGACAATCACATACATTTATAGAAGCAAGTCTGTTGGCAGAGTGGATAACAATATACTCTCTCAATATAAAGCAGAAGTGGATTACTGGAAGAGTGTGTTGAAACAGGTTGTAGCAGTAGTAAAATTCTAAGCATCAAGAGGACTTCCATTTCGCGGAGACAATGAGATTCTTGGCTCCCAGCAAAACGGAAATTATTTGGGATGTATAGAATTATTGGAGAAATTTGATCCCTTTCTTGCTGAATACTTGAAAAAATATGGAAATCCAGGTAAAGGAAGAACTTCATACTTGTCAGCTAATATTTGCAATGAATTTATTGATATTATGGCAAAGCAAGTCCTTTTGAGAATTGTATGTGAGCTAAAAGCAGCCAAGTATTTCTTAATTAGTATTGATTCGACACCTGATCTATCCCATATAGATCAGTTGACTTTTATTGTTCGATATGTTAGGAACGCAAGTCCAATTGAAAGATTTCTACAATGTATACCTATAACCAAGCGCACAGCGCAATATTTGACTGACACTGTATTGGCTGCTCTTAAAGACTTGGATATTCCAATAAAGGATTATCGAGGTCAAAGCTACGATAATTCAAATTCAAATTCATATTCGAAAATGTTATATTACAATTCAATTCAATTCAATTTATTAATTCCTTTTTTGATTACATAGTAATATAAGTTTGTCACTAAAAAATATAAAATATAAAAAATACAATCAATATAATATAAGCATACACACACATATACATACATACATACATATGCCTATACTAGAGTTCTTTTAAACACAGACAAGAAGAACACAATTTTTCCTAATTGACATTATTTTCTTTAGGTAGGCCATTAAAATCACTCAACATGCAGTTTTAAAATTTGTGGAGAGAATCAACAGTAAGCACAGTTATATCCATATCTGTTTAATTTATTTGTGTGGTCGAAAAATTCATTTACTTCCCGTAAACCTCTAACCTTTTCACCTCACCAGGCACTGCATTATAAATCTTAACACACACATAGTAGTGACTATCTTCATACACTTTGGTCCTATGCAATGGTGTAATAAGGCTCTGATTATTTCTTTTTTCCTTATTTGAGTTTGTGTTATTGTTTTTCAGTAGCCTGTCATAGAAAGCTCGTTCAAAAATTTTTGAGAAAGCAGATGGAACTGCTACAGGTCTATAGTTATTTATATCGGTAGTATTCCTTTTTTTATGTATGGGTATCAGTGGCGGCTGGTGAGAGGAAAAGTTGGCGGTGCACACACTCAGGGGGGAAAAAATTCCTTCCAGTAAATTGATCCAGATTTATCCAGACCTTATCCAGACTTGTACAGACTGATCCGGATTCTAGAAAATGATCCCCAGGTCTTTTGGGACCTTTTCCAGAATTTTTCCGAACCTTTCAAGAAATTTCCAGGCCTCTTCCAGACATTATCCAGACCTATATAGAGCTTTCCAGAGTTTTCCAGACTTCATCCATACTTTATCCAGACTTGTACAGACTGATCCGGATTCTAGAAAATGATCCCCAGGTCTTTTGGGACCTTTTCCAGAATTTTTCCGACCCTTTCAAGAAATTTCCAGGCCTTTTCCAGACGTTTCCAGAGATTTCCAGACATTATCCAGACTTATCCAGAGCTTTCCAGAGTTTTCCGGACTTCATCCAGATTAATCCAGACTTTATCCAGACTTGTTCAGACTGATCCGGATTCTGGAAAATGATCCCCAGGTCTTCTGGGACCTTTTTCAGAATTTTTCCAACCCTTTCCAGAAATTTCCAAGTCTTTTCCAGACGTTTCCAGAGATATCCAGACTTTTCCAGACAATATCCAGACTTATCCAGAGTTTTCCAGAGTTTTACAGACTTTATCCAGACCTTATCCAGACTTGTACAGACTGATCCGGATTTTGGAAAATGATCCCCAGGTCTTTTGGGACCTTTTTCAGAATTTTTTCGACCATTTCCAGAAATTTCCAGGCTCTTTCCAGACGTTTCCAGAGATTTCCAGACTTCATCCAGATTTATCCAGACATTTTCCAGACTTGTTCCAGCTCACTTGGCTTGTTCCAGGTTCTTGTTGTGTGTTGTGTGTTAATATAAGCGTGGTAAAAAAGTGTCGCTTTTTCGTTTCATCGAGTCTCAAATCACTCCCAACGATTCTAAAGAAGTTTTCACTTCAAAAATATCTACTGCACTGTCTTTCCAGACCAAACTGACTTCTGTGCGGAAAGCGCTTCAAAGAAATAAGCCGACAGAGATGCCGCGACGCCGCTAAAAAATACGAATAATGTCCGCGAATCGACTCTCAAATTAAATTGCCGCAAAAACTAATCCGGGCCGTTCGATCAGGTGACCCCGTTTATACGTATAAAAACAGCTGGTACTGGGAGCGCGGCGTGACCTTCTCCAACGTAATTGCCGTGTTGCAGCGGGGCCGTTGTGAGATGGGCTCGGACGGATAGTCCAGCGAGTTTAGTTTAGTCAGTCGCTTAAATTATTGTCTAGGAAATTTAGAAATAAAAACGACAGACATTTTTCCGCCGAGAGCAAAATATAAAATGATAAGAAATTTGATCTGACGATTGTAATAACTATTGAACTAAAAAAAAAAAGAAATTTAAAAAGACCGACATATTTTGCGCCAGTGCCACGGCCCCTTGGCCCCTTAGGGCCAGCCGCCAGTGATGGGTATTACTCTAGTTTTTTTTAAGTATTGTGGGAAAGAGCCCTTCTTGAAAAGATTGATTTATTAAGATACACAGTGGAAGACAAATCTCGTGAGAAACTTTTTTAATATGCTACAAGGCACTTCATCGATGCCTGCAGATTGTTTAGTGCATGTTTTTTTTATAATGTTTAGAACCTCATATATATCAAGTGGCTCAATTTTAAATGATTTTTCAATTGAAGCGGGGATTTTTAAATTGTTTTTTTGAATTTTGTGCATAGCAGGAAGTTCACAAAAATTTTTGTTAAATAATTCACAAAGCTCGCCAGCGTCAGTGACAAGCTGGCCATCATTATTTAGTTCAATGGCAGACATTTTTTTTTGCCGACCTGTCTCCCTCTTTGAAATGTTCCATACACATTTACTTTTGTTTTCAGAATTTGATATTTCTGAATCATAAAGTTTTTTTTTGTTGTTTTTTTTTAATTTGCATTTTATATTCTTTTTTTTTCTGTTTATTTTATGTTCGCTTCCTCACTATTTGTGTATTTTTTAAGCCGATGCAAGTTTTTAAGTTCTTCCGAGAGGCTCATCACCCGTTCATCAAACCATCTTCTTTTCTTCATTCTATTATTAATTTTGTGTGTTAAAAGGTTAAAATAATGCATAAAGGTGTTAAAGAAACACAAAAACATGTCATCTATGGTGGTGAATTGCAATATTTCAGCCCAACTTTCCCTGCATAGTAAAGTGTGAAAATAATCAATATTTTCTGTGGAAAATTTCCTATATATTTTAACATTTTCTTCTGGTTCTGATTCTTGTTTTGTAAAATAAATTTTTAGCTCGAGACCGTCATGTTCCGATAGACCGGTAGTGAAAACCCTCGTGATGAACTTTGTATCAATATTAATAAAAAAATTATCGATAAATCGGTCAGAGGGACAAAATTATAAGAGGAGAAAGTATCTACTAAATTTTCCTTGGACTTACTGTTTTCTCTCAAATTAATGTTGAAATCACCTGAGACAATCACACTATCACAGGGTTTAGTTAAAGTTCCTAACAAATGTTCCAAGTTTAGAAGAAAAATGCTGACATCTGCTTGTGGACTACGATATACAGGGTGTCCACTTAGTGCGATATCGGACGATATCTCCTTACAGGGTGATGCAAGAAAAAAAAATTAAATTACAAAGTTGTTTGATATTCTAATATGCATTAGTTAAATATATTTTTGAATATACAGGGTGCTCCGGTAATGGGGTATGCGACAGAACTTTGTTATTTTAAATAAAACACCCTGTATGTGATTGCATATTTGGATTCTACTTAAAATTCTGAGCAGATTTCATGTGATATACCCTATACCTAAGTTTAACTGTTTTGGAAATATTGACAGTTGAAAATTGACTTTTTGCAACTTTGACAGGCTTTAAAACCTAAACGGTTGATTTTAGACAAAAACCTGTCTTAGATTTTTATAAACTATCATTTGACACCAACTTCGAATTTAATCCATTATTAAAAATTCCAGTTAAATTTAATCTCCGGTTAAATTTAAAGTTGGTGTCAAATGATAGTTTATAAAAATCTAAGATAGGAATGTAAAATCGGTTTTCGTCTAAAATTAACCGTTTAGGCTTTACAGCCTGTCAAAGTTGCAAAAAGTCAATTTTCAACTGTCAATATTTCCAAAACAGTTGAACTTAGCTATAGGGTATATCACATGAAATCTGCTCAGAATTTTACGTGGAATCCAAATATGTAATCACATACAGGGTGTTTCATTTAAAATAACAAGGTTCTGTCGCATACTCCATAAACGGAGCACCCTGTATATTCAAAAATATTTTCAACTAATGCATATTAGAGTATCAAACAACTTTGTAATTTAAAATTTTTTTCTTGCATCACGCTGTAAGGAGATATCGTCCGATATCGCACTAAGTGGACACCCTGTATACTTGCTATAATGATTTTTTTTTTGTTTATCATGAAACTATTTATACAATATTCAAAGAGTTTTTGATTGCTCTGGACATTAATCGTGACTGGTTGTGATGATAGTGTGTTGTTGAATAGCAGTAAAGTACCCCCACCATCAGTGTCATCATCTCGGCAATATGCAGAACCAATCTTGTAGTTTTCTATGTGGATATTCTCCAATTCCCCTTTTTCAGCCAGTGTTCACAGACAGATATTATGCTAGAATGATTTTGATTTACCAGCTGTTGAAATTCATGTACTTTGTTTCGAATGCTCTGGATATTTATTTGGATTATTTTAATATTTACTTCTTCTACCGCTATTGTTACCTCTGCGATTGGTTGACCTTGTTGTTACGTTAAAATTTTGCCCTAACGTAACTTAATATTTCGAATGAATTCAGTAATTAATTCAGTTATTTGTGAGGGTATTTATAAAGCTGTATACCTGAGGATTAATATTTTTCAGTGATAGGTAGGTTGCTCATTGAATTTTGCTAGATTTTTACCTTTTGTTGGATGCAAAACAATATCTGGTTGTTGATTAAAGGTATATTTTTCAAGGTAATAATGAGTGAATTCTTTGTATTTAGAGGACAGGGTAATTTCAGGATAATAAAGCCGTACTGGTAGGATAGGAATTCACTTTATTTAGCTTTCGAAAGTTTTCTAAAAGGCCCTAAATGTCGGTGAAAAGGTATGTTTACTTTCAAATAAATATCAATTGTCAACACTTACGGATCTCGTATTTTCCTTTATTAAAATTTCTGCAACAACACAAATCACTTTAGCACACTCTAAATCGATTTTCCACCCTTATTTCCTTTATTTTTCCCATTTTCAAATGTTTATTTTTCTCAAAAATATAGTGGGGTTATAAGACACTTGTGGATTCGTTTCGGGCAGCACTGTTGCCGACATCCCTTGATCACTGTGGGTAATAGGGTCACTGTAATTGTAATCCCTAAACAGTCACTGGTCGTTTTGATGGTTTTTAGACTGAAGACTAAGTAG